CGCACTTGACATATTTCATTTCGTATGCATAGGTACATTAAGTTCGTCAAACAAAAATACAATAGGTAGTGGACGACTATAATGGAGAAAATGCTGTGATGCAAGACTGCAGCTGCATCTAAAGTACTTCTACTGTGTTTATAGGCGAATTATTTGAGATCGTTAAAGGCTTTATGTGAAGGTTGAAGATTAAGTAAGAGTAACTTTTCCATAGCTTTTACAAAAGGAGAGGTAATAGCAATAGGTCTAAATTAAAAGCATGTTCCATTGGACGACTTAGGTATAGGTACAATTTTAAAGTCCTTCCAAACGGCTGGCACAACATTTCTGGAAAATGATTCACTAAATATGTCCATGACAGGATATCTGCACATTTAATTAAGAATAAGGCCAGGCAAACAATCTGGAACTAGGCTACAAGAAGGGTTCAACGACTAGAGAACGCCATTTGTATTGAAACCAAGGAAGCAACTCTTATTAACACTTGTGACACCAGAAACCTTGGCATTTGTGGGAGGATGTATGAATGCCTTGTTTACCGTACACACATCAAATGAATAGGGAATACTGTTGTAATACTGCAGGTAATTAGGAGCATAAAGGCCTAAGTTATTTAATGTCCATAAAGTAGATATGTAAATACCGCAGTTGTTGGTCATAGAAATGATGGATATTAGATAACATCACATGATTCAACGGCATATTAGAAATAGATGAAAATTGTTTCTTTTCTCACTGTCAAGTGAACAGTCTATCTGATGATGTCACTGCATATTAACAGATTAGTGAAGTAGCTATCAAGCCTAAGCTATTACATTTACTTGTACTTCATACTTGACGTTTAACAGTATACAGACTTGCAACTGGCTAGATAAGGCGGTTTTAGCGTATCGAACAGTACAGAATTATTATTCAACTTGCTCAATCCTACTTAGTTTTTACAATGTGCTACTATACTATAAATCTTACGAAGGGCTAAAGTAACAGTCTCATAATACTTTAGTAAATCTCCATCCCACTAACTAAGCTTAACGTGCATTAATCCGATTTCACTTATTACAAAAGCACATAGTATAGCGACGCACTGAAAAAGTCTAGAGGAAGTAGAATTGAAGAGTATATTAAACATTTCATTAATTTACAAAAGAAAATCCCGATGAAGACTATTAACGTTAGTTTGTCTGAATGATATTTCCGCTGGTTTCATATTCGACAACTTCCGTATACCTGAAAAAAATAAAGCACATGTAAGGACTAGCACAACATGAATTTATGAAAGATAATTCTACATATTAGCACACACTATGAATACACTGATTCTGTCAATACTAAGTAATATCTGATGCAAATAAATGTATTTGTAGTTTACAGCTGGTTTTTATATTGACACCATAAGCATCAATAGACCTCATATGTTTACCACTATTAAAGGATTATACGCAAATATCAAGACAATCTTTGAAACTTCCATACTGTTGAGGCGTCATACTCTCATTAACCTTACTTGCAGATCAACTTCACACCGAATACGTTTACATTAAATGAAGTATTGCAAATGTGTAACTTAGAAATTGATCCATAATCTCAGTAATGTCTAATGAGCATAGTTTTATGAATCCTACAGAAATTACATTCTCATATTTAGGAATCTATAGCCATCAAATATAAGCTGAACATGCTTCAACTCTAAGCAACTATGCACAGTGTTAGCAGCATAGAGAAACACTTAAAATATTGTAAGATACGCAGACCTGTTGCGTTGATGAGGATAACAATGACATATAATGCAACCTAGACATTCGATCGTGACACTTCATCTGTACTGCTTCATGTTAATGGAAAATTCAGGAAAAATTCATCACCACTACTGGTGATCAAAAACAGTGCAGCATTAAGTTTACAGTGCCATTGAGAATGGCATAACAGACAGTAGATTGATAGTAATAGAGCTGACTAGATTCAGTTCTCATAATCAACACAATCCATGTGTATAATGATACTATACACTGAATTAATGCACTAAGTGACACAGTAAGGAAATTTAAACAAGTGATTGCCTTCTCCACTGCACTGCACTTACAATAATCACGACAATCACCTACGTTTGCCAGCCAAGCAGTCAGCTTAGCAACGGCGCAATATTAGTAAAGTTGAGATTTGTTATGCATTGAGTTCATATAACTCTTATTACGCTACACCAAACAGTGCAAATATACATGAAATCCACTTAGAAATAACCTCTTAACTTACGATAATTCCTGTCAAAACACACATACGGTGAGACACATCTACATGACTTCTATTCCCACAGAAGGCTCTGTTAGCATTTACAGGTGATTTCGAAGTACTGATAGAATTCTTTTGTCAAAAAGGACTGTTCTTCACACGAAAATAGGCTGAATTAATATCCTGAGACGTGAAGTCTCCATTGAATGATACCATGACGAAAGGTGCAGCATCTGAATACAGCAGATTATTTGTGTAGATGAAATTACCCTTCAACTATCCTATCTTTCTCACTATAGCGATATTTTGCTACAGTTCGCCTGAAACACTGATCGTTGCAACCAATATGCTAGGGGGTGTCGCAGTCAGATTACATGACGCGGACTCCAAAATAGCAGGCCAGAAAATAGGAATTCTCATCAATCCAGATAATATATAACGCAATTTCATTAAAAATTATTGACAAAAAAAAATTTCCAAGGGAAATCTTAACAGCGCTACTAGAACATGGCATTTAACGTCTAGCCAGCTGTTTCGTCCTAGTTTGGGACTCTTCATCAGTACGCACCCAGAAGGGTTCGAACCCAGGACCTTCTGGTTACATTGCGATATTGCGAGATGATCGCGCTATGTCGTGAATTAGCAGAAGTTAGAATTCAAGGACCATTGGATCGGGTCCCAGTGGCTCAGTGGTCTACGAGCTGGCCTTGTAAACAGTAGGTCCTAGGTTCGAACCCCGGTGGGTGCGTACTGCTGAAGAGTATCAAACTAGGACAATGGAAACAGCTGTCCAGTACTCCCAGGTTTTCCAATGGTTCTCGAACTGATGTCAGCTCATGATGAAATCCTGTAACCAATCAAATCCCTACAAACCAACACTTGAAAATCAATGAGATGCTCACTAGCGACTTGCCCTATTCAGGTGGGTAGTCACCTGTGGTTCTAGTGAGTAGTATATTATTTAAAGAAATTTTTTTCCCAGAAAATTTGTATTGTAGTCATTCGTGAGTGGATAAACAGCTGACAATCAACTACAGAACAAATGCAAAACATGATGCGGGCAGTTTTTTTTAGGGTAATATTTTCCCACGAATCTACCTTTTATCAGTACTGAATAATAATTAATTCTTTTCATGTATAGAAAATATGATCAGATCAGACATTTAAATTTCAGAGAGCAAAAATAAGATCCGGTGAATTGCACACATTACTTCATAGTATTTTTCTTTTTAAATATCGCCAAGCATTATTTTTTTTAACCAATAATTCTGATAAAACAACTTACTTAATTTCTTAAGTAGTGACATAACCTACGAACTCAATCTACTGATATAAGGCATTTGACCTATGTGAAGTAAAAATCTCCCACTAAACCAAAACGATTGTTAAAATTAGGTGTTGCGGTTTTAGCAGTGAGCATAACAGCTACTAAATAAGTACACTGAAAGTTGAGATTTCTTTCAATGTTCAATGCCGAAAACAATCTTGTTGTAGAGGATACTTCTCCCCTCAATGATAGTCATATCTCCAACTGTGAAAATTGTCAATTATTATTTTATAACGCTTGTCTCTGGATAATTTTCTAACCTGGCCAGAATTCCCTATATATATATACATATAAACCAAATTAACTCAACGCTTATGGTTATTGTAGAATTTTTAAATAATTTATTATTCAGCGTCAACGTTTCACGAGGTAACGATTGTCACTCTAATGTGGTTAACGAGACTTGACAAGACATAAATAACTGCCTCTATTCAACGTGTTCAGAGTGATTTTCTTCTTTTCCCTATTACATATGGTGGTTATTTCGATTATTTTTTTAAAGTATTAATATAATTAACGGGCCAAAAATTGTATTTTTAGCAGATTGTCCTTAGATGTACACCCAATCAAGGAATCTCGCAAAGCCAATAGTTCACTCGAAGAAATCTTTTTCAATGAATTTACTTTAAGTCTACAGGTTTCTCTTCAAAAACTTTTCGCAGTGAAAAGTGTTCAGTAAATAATTCTTACTTGTTTTAATAAAATCTCTGAATTATGAGTCATGCTCAAAACAGCCGGCAATAAATTCATGAAATGTTTTTGCTGCTCAACGCAACGACTGACAGAAATAGTGGCATGTTATGTATGTCTTCACTAGTGCTTAGATAAAAAACAATTACTGTCAAAGTCATCAATCCTCACCAATTCATATCACTAACTAGATCAATCAGTACACAGTATTGCGCAACTTAAAGGAATTATGCAAGCGTTTCTGCTACCTTCGTACATGTTACCAGATTAGTAATAGGTTCGCCAGAGTTTTACAGTTTAACGACAGTAACTCCATTTCTGACTAATCTGTAAACTTACCCTTCTATATTGGAATAACTTAACCATGAAGATAAAGCTTCTCTCTTTCCACCTCCTCATTCTCGACAGTTACATTCTCATAAAATGAAGCACTTCTACACACTCACCACTCACCACTAATGAATCTACATACTCATGACGTATAAGACTAAAATTAAATCACTGCTGAGACGAACAAGTTCAAAACGACACGATCTACTTTTATGTTGTAAGGTGGGCGGCTCATTTGACCGTCTATTGGTAAATGGTGTATCCGAATAGCTGATGTTTTCGTTGAAATGAACATCGCGAATTTCTCTTAAGAACTCGGATGAACTTATAACGTACACACAAGCAGACAAGCAAAGATCGATCGCCACTGTCATTTGCAGTTAGATTTTATAGAAATATTTAAAACAGATGGAATTATAACACTTTATTATTATTATTATTATAATTATTGGTTTCATATGTTTAAACTATAGATATTGTTAGGTTCTTACATGTTGCCATGTGAACAGAAAGACAAAATACAATACATCAAAATAAAAACTGAAAATATTCAATGTTGAGGTCTATCAGAGATGTGATCTTTGTGTTTTTCGGCTTTTTCTTTGTCCGTCAGTCAGTCGGTCAGTCAGTCATCATGACCCGGATAACCTCGGAAATAATTATCATCATTGTGATATGGATCACGCATAGATTTATAGCATGGTAATGAATCACGATTCATAGTATTCATTGAACGCTTACCCAAACGTGCATCCCATAAGTAATTACGTTTCATCATCATATGATTTCTCAATACTGGAGACAGTCCGCTGGGCATTTCTTTAAAGGAGGATACAAAGTTGTCATCATTAGCATTGATATGATGAATAGATATGAAGAATATGACGTAGATAAACGCCAGCAGATAACGATGAAGCATTCTTTACTCACTCAACTGCAATAGTAAGATAAAATAATATTAAGCTGTATTTAACAGATAGAATTAAAGATGGAATCAGTTTGTACTTCGAAGTCTTGTGGAAAACAGAGAAGTGATATTAGATAAACAAAACTCAGCAGCGTAGAATTGGTTCTGGTTAAATATTAAAATTTATTTCGTAAACCAATCAAAATTTAGACTGAAACAATGTGAAAAGGGGAATATTTTTATGTTTACGATTGGCTCACGTTGAATAAACCAACAGGAAGGAGTATAGCTAAACTTACTAACTTGAAATAATTTTTCTTTGGAATTGATATCCCCCCACCCACCCCACCCACCCACCCCCACACACACACCAGACTTTCTATTATTGAGGATGACGTAACTCTGAGTGGGGTAAAACAGGGGAAAATACCAGCTTAATAACTGGCTATTTTAAACATCGAGATATCTGAAGTCAATTTTTAAATGTATTGAAAATATTTTTGATTGCGCACTAGTCAGTAACTAGTGTAATGTGTCTAGTCCTATCTTCGGTGCAGACTGAATTCTCTCAGTCATGCTTGCAATGTGGCCACCATACTAGGTGGCACACCATTACGGTGCACTGTGAATTGTTGGTATTAGATGGTTGGAGGCAATCGGCCACAGGAAGCCTTGGACCTAGGTTTCGTGCTAGTTGGCACTCATCAACAAGGCGTATCTGCCACCTTGAATGAACTGATGTCCATTCTGAGATTCGAACCCGCGTCACCCAGTGCTGCAGTCAGAGACGTTACCACTGAGCTATTCAGGCTCGCGACTGACCTCCTGTAGGACTGTATTGGATATTTTTGATTGCACACTAGTCAGTAACTAGTGTAATGTGTCTAGTCCTATCTTCGGTGCAGACTGAATTCTCTCAGTCATGTTTGCAATGCCACCACCATGCTAGGTGGCTCACCATTACCATTCAGTCGCGAGCCTGAATAGCTCAATGGTAACGTCTCTGACTGCAGCACTGGGTGACGCGGGTTCGAATCTCAGAAGGGACATGAGTTCCTTCAAGGTTGCAGATACGCCTTGCTGACGAGTGCCAACTAGCACGAAACCTAGGTCAAGCAAGGCTTCTTGCCGATCGCCTCCAACCATCTAATACCAACAGTATTGAAAATATTTGTTTAAGGTTCACCATTTCCGTGGTTGTATTGTACCTAGACAGCTTAAAATTTTTAGCCACTTTTATAACAGATGCTAGTCATTCGACGTTGCCGAACCACTGGAAAACTGTAGATTGTACTGTGTCCAATGTGGGCAACGAAAATGACCATCTGTATCGGTGCCATAATTAGTAGTAAATTTTACCAAAGAAGAAACTTATATGATCAAAGTGTATAGAGATATAGTATTGCATGGAGGATTTCATCATGAGCTGACATCAGTTAGAGAACCACTGGGAAACCTGGGAGTACTGGACAGCTGTTTCCATTGTCCTAGTTTGGGACTCTTCAGCAGTGCGTACCCACCGAGGTTTGAACCCAGGACCTTCCGGTTACAAGGCGAGCTCGTAAACCATTGAGCCACTGGGACCCGACCCAATGATCCTTGAATTATAACTTCTGCCAATTCACGACATAGCGCTACCATTTCGCAATGTCTTCTTAGATGAGTTACTGCCTCATCTTCAACCTGCTGTACGCTACTGGTCACGGCTTCCCACTAGAACCCCAGGTTAACTGCCTGAATAGGGCCAGTCACTAGTGAGCATCAGATTAATTTTCAAGTATTGGTTTGGTAGGGATTTTGTTTAATTGCTCATGATGAAATCCTCCATGCAATTAAACAAAATCCCTACCAAACCAATACTTGAAGATACAGTATTGTTTACTGATGACGATTAAAACACAATTTATTACCTAAAGTCATATCTAGACACCTACATAATTTTCAACCATCGTTTATAAAATTCTATTGTAACAACACAAGGCAGGACACGGATTTACTATTACTATTACTGTTTCTTTTAGTTCCTTTACAGGAACATCCAGACCGATGGCTGCTACCTTGGCGTGGTGGTCCGGATTGCATATTAAATGACCCAACAAACTACGCTGGCTATAACTGTTGTTTCTGCAGGTTCTACCATGCCAGGAAGGTTGTTAGGATAGCGATTAGACTAAAAGCAGTTACCGGCACTGTGTAAGAATCTTTCCTACACTATGCTGGGGGTCTGAGGGCGAAGTCGTACTGCTGGGGAACATTTGTCCCTGGGGCTATGAGGTAACGCAACACTAACCATCGTTCTGTTTCAGGTACCCAAAAAATCATCATTCTCTTTCACCCACATCACCTTCATCGCGTTTCCCCACTGCTACTGTCAGTACTATTCTTCAGCCTAGTGAGTCATCTTCACTTCACTCAGTGACCACAAACAAAGATGGGAGCCATAGAAACACCCCCGACAGCCTCTTAAAGCCACATCGCCAGCCTCATATAGGAGCATTCAACGTCAGAACCCTCTGCCAAATCGGAAAACAGGCATCACTAGCAAGAACTCTGGCATCTCGACCCATGGATCTATGTTGTTTTTCGGAGACGCACATACAAGACCTGAGTGTGGTTATTCACTCAACCCAACCCCACCCGGCGAACAAGGTGAATCTGCAAAATTTGCTTTAAGGGTGTCAGGAGACCCCTCAGCTAGTTCGCGAGGACTCGCAGGTGTAAGAGTATCTTTGACTGTTAGGGAAGAAAAATCAGTTCTTAACTGGATTCCAGTAGATAGTTGTATTTGTGCGGTCCGTCTGAATGGGTCCGTTAAACGAAGGAAGGACGGCGTCACCCGTCGTTGTCTTTTCATGGTCTGCGCTTGCGTCCCAAAAGACTGCAGTTTGGATGAACTAAAGGATAACTTCTACCTGAAACTGTTTAATTTGCTGCAAAAAGCAAAATTCTCAGATATAGTTGTTTTAGCAGGCGACTTCAATGCCCAAACAGGGAAGTTGTGCCAGACTGAGAAGTATTTAGGTGATGCGTACGGAGTCCCGGTGATCGTCTTCTACAGTTCTGCTCAGATAATTATCTTTTCCTAGTCAGCACTAACTTTAGGCACAAAGACAGACACTGCGCAATCTGGTGGCCTCCATCAACAAATCAAAGTTGAACTCAGATAGACCATGTAGCAATAGGGTATCGTTGGCGAGAGTCAGTAGAACACGTGGGTAGGCTCTAATCACGCCCTAGTTTGCGCACGTTTATGCTTACGAATAAACGGACATAAATTGCTGGCAGCGAAACAGTTACGTCCCCAGCTAGATCAAGACACTGAGTCCCCATTTAAGGAAGAAATAGCGAAACGAGTATCTGAGATTGACAGCAGGACTCTTCCTGCCTGAGGTAGACTGGCACAACATACAGTTAGCTGTAGACACGGCTGTAAAAGCTGTTAGGCACCTGAAACCGAAAGTTAGCAAGAGCCAGTGAGCTTCTACTACTTCATCCGAACTGATTGACGCAAGAAGACTGATTCCAGCGAGCTCCGAATACGAAGGGCGAAAGCTGCTCAAAAACATACTAATAAGAATTCTTCGCAACGACCGTGAACAGTGGTGGGCGACGAAAGCGAAAGAGATGGAAAAGGCATTGGCGATTGGTAACACCAGACAACTATTTATACTTATTTATCAGGGAAACAGGTGGTAGAGGCCAAACGATAAGTGAAACAATCTCTGAGAAAAATGGCACCATAATTAGCTCCCAGGGTAGCCGACTGGAACGCGGGAAAAAACACTTTGACGGGCGATTCAACTGGCCTACAGCCACACTCAACTTACTCAGCATCCAACACCTTCCTAAATTGCAGATAAACACCGGTTCTCCGACCCTAACTGTCATTGATCTGAAAGGAGGCAAAGCAGTGGGACCTGATCGAATGACTCGAGAGGTGTTTAAGGACGGTGGAGACAATTCATTGTCTGGGTTAACTAGGGTGTTAGGCAACGTCTGGGAATCAGAGGTAGTCCAGTTGGACTGGTCTGTCTCATTGGTCATCCCGGTATACAAGAAGGGAGATAAGTCTTCCTGTGATAATCACAGGGTGATTGGCTTGACTAATATGGTGGTATCCAAAGTTCTAGGCTCAATGATAATGCGTGGACTAAGGGGTTCTCGGGAGGAACAGACACGAGAAAATCAGGCATGCTTTAGACTAGGAAGAGGGTTTATCGGTCACATCTTCACACTTCAAAAGATTCTGGGACATAGGCGTACTTACCGGCCTCCAACAACTGTCATACTTCTTGACCTGAAAGCGGGATTCGATTCCGTCGACCGAGAGGTACTATGGCAATGTTTGGCCGTGAAGGCTATGCCGAGGAAATACATCTCACTAATCAAGGCACTCCACTCGAACTCATGCAGTCAGACAGGTAAGGAAGAGCCTACGGAGAGTTGTCATCTGAAGTGATAACAACCAGTGGTGTCCGTCAGGGATGTCCACTGTCCCCATTTCTCTTCAATTTCATCATCCATGTGCTACTGGACTTAACCCTAACTGACTGACTTCAGCGACTCAGGGCTTGACTTCTCACCAAGAAAAAATCTTGTTGACTTGGAATATGCGGATGATACAGTCCTCCCTCCTAGGTGAGGAAGACGCTGACAAAATGACGAGTCTTCTCAACATCTTGAGCAGCAATCTCCGAATGTTTGACATGCGATTCGCTCGTCCTGTCAAATGTAAGATGATGCTACAGGACTCGACTGGAATACATCGACTCCTAGCTTAGAAATAGGCAGTGAAGTGGTATGTGGAGCGTGTTGACGACTTTACTTATTTGGGAAGTTGCATCAGCGAACCCCAAAGAGTTGATCGCTGACGAGACCTCAGAACGGATTCAGGAGGCTAGTTTCGCATATCCCAGTTTACGCCGTCTCTGGCGTAGACGTGATATCCGGCTACCTGTCGATCAAAGTACGTGTGTACTGCTCAGCAGTCCACTCCGTCTTCCTTTATGGCTGGCTACCAGTGAGACGTGGCTATTGAGAGTGGAGGACATTAAAAGACTAGCTAGATGTCTTTGATAATTGGCGCCTGCGTTCTGTCTCCCTCCCATATAAGGTGAGCAATATTGAGGTTAGAAATCTGTCGAGTTCCAGGTAAGGAGGGGAAATCAATCGACGAGGTTGCGAAATTATATCGACTGAGAGAGATGGTTAAGACATGTGTTACTCTTAACAATCCATCCATCGCCTTCCTCGACTACGGACAATGTTAGTCAGCTGACATAGGGTCAGGTTGGGGAAGAGCTAGTGGTGGTCAAACCAAAACATGACTTTATCAGTCCATGAAATCCACAACAGTTAAGTTTGTTTAAGCCAGCCAGTCAGCCACGTAGGAAGGTATAAACTTCCTTACTGATTGAAGGAGAGGGTCGTTGGGACGGTAGAAACCAATATCTGAAGACAATCGGTGATATGACTCAAAATCGTTGTCAATGGCTGGCGCAGATGCATCCACTCATTGTGACTTATAACTTCCAATGAAACTATATTGTTCTGGGATATTACTATTCCTTTTGTTTCATATCCCTGTTTACTGTCTCTTTTTTGCATTTCTTCTCTTGCTTTGTGTGCTACATGGAGTGTGGCGACTCAAACTGCTGCACATCGGTGCAAAGTTTTTTTGGTGGAACCAGTCAGTCCACCCTAATCACTGAGATTTAAAAGCTTGAAGGCATATGTTCCACTCGAAACGCAAAAACAATGAGAAAAAAAGTCAACAAATCAATAGGCCAACACACTTTATTTTTTTTATTCATTGTTCAAAGAAGCTGACAGAGGACAGTGTACTTTCAAAAGTTCCACATACTTTTGATTTGTTAATAAACATAGAAAACTGCAGTATATAAATATTTTCCTCAGTGAATTAGACATTGGAATCTGTAATCCTAATCATCGAAATAATGAAGACAAAGAAATACGAACAGCTAATTACATATTGCATACATGCATAATACATCTATGAAACAGCCAGGTGCTATCACAAGGATTCCATAGAGTTAGTTGATAGTGTAAGCAAAGACAAGTAAGACAAGTAATCAATTTCTACACACAAAAAAATATTGAAACATTAAAGTTGAAAATACACCGAAATCACTAAAATGACACATTGCACAAAAAAAAGAAAAGACTGAATCGCTAAAATTTCGATACACACACACAGACACAAAGTACAGTTTTGAAGGGTTAAAATATCCTTTCATTTGTAATTTTTATGCAGTATTTCTATTCCTCCAGTAATGTTGGATAGAGGCAAGTGTACCTATGCATTCTTCTGTACAATATATATACTGTTATGTTCTACATTTCATATTTCAAGACATAAAAAAGTGCGTCACAAAGATCCAAATAATAATAATAATAGTAATAATAATAATATACAGTAAGAAGTTAATTGTAAATAAACTCATGAGAGTTCGCGAATGAAAATAATGCAAACCCCTGACATGAGTGTACTTCACATTCAGTGTGTTATTAACGGGATGGATGATGAATTCAAGGTAAAAATGTGTTGTTTGTCAAAATAGAAGATGGAATATATATATATATATATATATATATATATATAATAAAGCAATAAAGGTAATAATTTCTCTCTCTCGCTAAGCTGTTAACGCAGTCTCGGAACACATGAATTGATTGTACTTTCAACAAATCCTTCTTTTTCTACTAAATAAATCAAATCTGCAAGAGTCTGTTCAACAGAAGCGCTTACAACACGAGCGGACATCTGAAAAGAAATATAAATATGAACAAATAAATAAATGAGAAGTTATAATTTTTTGTTTCAGAATGGATTGACAATAAATTGAAAGCATAGATATGTGAAGTATGCCGTTGTCGGAGTTAAGTGATGAATAGATGAGATGATACATTTAGTAGATACTATTGATTGATGTGAGTATTGTATTGGGAAACCAAGCACATCAACCAATCACATCTCCAGGTTACCAGAGGGAGAGGGAGGTCGCAGTGACCTAAACCAACCTGTATTGAAATCTCAAAGTAGAACTTTGTAGGAAACAGTGCACCAGTTCAGCTTACCACATAAAGTTAGGGGGAAAAAATTCAAAGGTACTATGGTGAACGGGAGTGTACGGAATACTCATGAGGATTTAATAAATCTAGAAGATTATTATTATATTATTGTTTCCTTCAGTTCCTAGAGGAACATAGGGCTTCAGCCGCGCGTCTCCATTGCGTTCGGTTCTCTGCTAGAGTTTTCACCTGGCTCCATGTCTGCCCACACGTTTTCATCTCCTCTTTACATGTCACTTGATGGTTTTCTCAGAGTATGGCCAATCCATCTCCATTTCTTCCTGCTTATTTGTTTCACAATCGGTTCCTTCTGGGTTGGTTCGTTCATTGCCAGAGACCCCTGTTGCTGATCTCTTCTGGCCGGCCATCTTATCTTGAGTATTGAGCGAAGACAACTGTTAATGAAGGTCTGTAGTTTGTCTGAGATGCTCTTTATGACGCGCAGTGCAAGTCTCTGATCCGTATGTTGAGTAGCACTGACTTTACATTGGAGTTGAAAATCCGCATCTTATTTTCCATGCTGAGCAGTGCTGTTGACCTCAAAACACAGACTTGAGAGAAGTGAAAGCTTCCCTTGCTTTCCCGATCCTCGCTTTGATAACCTCATCAATTCCGTCCGACTATAGTTGAAACGATGCTTCCCAGGTAGGCGGGTAGGTAAAGGAGGTTGCTTCTTTCACATTCCTCCCATTTATGCTGATTGTTGTCTGTTGTTGTTGCTGTGGATGTTGCTGTTGGCGAGGAATCTTCATCACCCATGTCTGTTTTCTCTATGTTCACCTGAGGGGTGAATGCATCTACACCAATTAAAACGATTTCTTTTTTGGCGTCTTGGCGACTGCAACCAGGTATTCTGTGCATCCTCATACGATCCAAACGAAAAGTTGTAAACTTCACGATAGTGAATTACCGTCCTTCTTTCTTGGAAATCGTTTCATTTATCTACACACAGGAGCATGGTGTTGTTCGTATGAAGACAAGCTCAAGACATACATTTCTTAACTACTTTAGAGATTAATTCCTCCCAATACAGTTTACTTCAATAGATTTCTAGAAGTAACTTTTCCTATCCTCAATGAATAATTGTGTTAGGTTAGGGGTAAAGATGAAAGACATAAAGTCAGCTGCACGTCAGTAGTGAAATGATTTGGCAAGTGTTTGAAGAATCGGACTGAGGTGACCAAGTTTCCAACGCAGAATACTTCAAAAATACGCAGCAGTACAAATTGACACAGCCATTAAAGCAGCTGCCAAATGTGCATACGTGCTTTACGTTTCAAATGCATCTGAGTTCAGCTTGATTGCAGTAGGTAAAATGAGGAGATACAATACACTTACTTTTACTTGGCCAGGCAGCTACCATACAACTTTTCCATACAACACAAAATAAAATATTTCTACGCTTTTCACATTAAAGTAGCTTTTATGCCGACTACGTTTACCCTAAACAAGCAGATACAACAAAGCAGCTAACTGACTGGTTTCAACAAGGAACTTTGCACTGATGCCCAGCAGTTCGAGTCGCCACACTCCATTTAGCACACAAAGCAATAGAAGAAAGTTAAAAGAAATACGAAATAGAGATAGTAAACAGAGATATTAGGCAAAATAATACAAATAATAATAATATAATATTCCGTATAAACTAGTGTTTACAAGAACATTATAGTTTTATTGGGTATTATAAGTCACAAGGAGTGGATGCATCTAAGTCAGCCATTGAGAACGATTTTGAGTCATATCACCGATTGTCAACAGCCACTGATTTCTACCGTCCCGAGGACCCCCTCCCTCAAACAGTCAGGAAATCTATACCTTCCTACGTGGCTGACTTAAACTAACTATTGTGGATTTCATGGATTCATAAGGCCATGTTTTGGTTTGAACACCACTAGCTCTTCCCCAACCTGATTCATCCTATGTCCGTAGTCGAGGAAGGCGATGGATGGCTAAGCATGTATGCATAACACATGTCCTAGCCATCTCTCTCAGTCGATGTAGCTTCACAGCCTCGTTGATTGATTTCTCCTCCTTACCTGGCACTCCACCGATGTCTAACCTCAAGATTGCTTACACAAAGAACACTCCGCAAAATCTTCACAGACTTTTTGTTGTCCACATGCAGATTTTTTTATTGTAGTATGATTTTATTTTCATTCTTCTTTTTTTTTGCATGATGCTTCGAAATGTAACAATTTAAACGGATGCACCACAGTGAAAAAAACTTTGCATTGATTCATTTATCTCTGGATTAACTAAAACTAATCCGCTATCATTTAAAATAGCATGTCAAATAAAACCATTACCCTGGGAAGCTTAACCTACACAAGTTATCTTTTTCACTTACACTTACCGGTTGCCAGTCTGGAAAATCATTCGGGGGATATTTGAAGGATGGACCAAAATTGACAGAAACTGTGGCTGCCCTGAATATTGATATTGCTGGATAATAACTACCCGCGTAGATATTCGTGAAAGCTGTTCCCATACACTCGCCATTACGATAAAATACGATCTATATTTTTTTTAAAAGACAAGGTAAATAATCATATGTTAACCTTTTCCTGCCCTCAGTTAGGCGAAATATAAATATTGCTAAAGTAGACACTCTTGATAATACACAATAAAAACCATTTTTATCATATATTGCAACTGTCTGTCTGTCTGGATTCAACATAGAACTTGGCATCGAAGTGCAGCAGTTCGAGTTGCCACCTTCCAAATAGCACACAAAGGTAGACAAGAAAATGAGTGAAGAGAATCAATAGAGTTTTGACAAGTGTAAGAGTGAAACAGAATGAGTAATGGTAGAAAGGAATATGAAAGATTACAGAGACTGAATACATCTGTGTAAGCCATTGACAACGATTTTGAACCATGTCACCTATTGTCTCCAGCCATTGATTCTTAGAGTCCCGAGGGCCCCAACCCGGAAGTCTGCATCTCCCTACCTGACTCAGTTTAACTGTCAAGGATTTCATGGATTGATGCCATGTTTTTGTTTGACCACCACTTACTCTCTTCCAACCTACACCTATCTCAGCTAGTAATGCCCGTCGAAGGTTAGGCAAGCGCAGCACGTGAACTAGCCATCTCAATCTATGTAACTTTATAGCCTCGTCGATTGATTTTCCCTCTTTGCACAACACTCTACGCCTAATGTCAACATTACTTACCTTATTATACCATCCAACGTGAGAAAGAGATCGTATACATCTATGATCAAAAACAGACAACCTTTTCATGTCTTCAACTCGTATTGGCCATGTTTCAGAGCCATAGAGAAGGATGGAGCGAACTGCTGAGCAGTACACACGTTCCTTGGTTGATAGCCGGATGTCACGCCTACGCCAGAGATGGTGTAAGTTAGTGAAAGCAGCTCGAGCTTTTTAGATCCTTGCTGAGATTTCGTCGCCAATCAATCCGTTGGTGCTGATACAACTTTCCAACATGTTCTATCACTTCACTCCCTATCACTAAGCTAGGAGTTGATGTAGTGCAGTCCTGAAGCAGTATCTTACATTTTACAGGGGCAAATCGCATGCCAAACATACGAAGATTGAAACTAGACGCTAATAGTGAAACGGATCTGTGGATCATATTGTTAATTTGTAGCAGTGGACTGTAGCTGCATTTTCAGGCAACCACTAACTTTTATAACTGACTGTTTGTATTTCTATAGTACATTTTAGTCGGATTTTTATTCTGATATTTCGTATCATTATCCAGTACTTTGTTAAGTCCCCTACAAGTAGTTTATAAGATTATCAATGTTCGAGAGGGTTTCAATAATTTTATATTTTCAAGTATTGGCTTTGTAGGGATTTTGTTTGATTGTATGGAGGACTTCGTCATGAGCTGACATCAGTTAGAGAACCACTGGAAAACCTGGGAGTACTGGACAGCTATTTCGTTCTAGTTTGGAACTCTTCATCAGTACGCACCCACCGGGGTTCGAACCCAGGACCTTCTGGTTACAAGGCGACTAAACAAAACTTATGTACAATATGTCCATTTTTCACATTTAGCGACAACTGTACAGATTTACTGTTTAGGATTCCACAAGGATAATTAGTGAGTGTCCCAACCACTGATCTGCAGAAGTGTGTGTACCAACATCACTGAAAATGCAAAACTACAACGATAATTTTATATTACTCAGTAAAATTCGGACTAATGGACACCAGACATGTAGACATATATTAAATAAAATAATTTCAAATTGTCGCGTTCTGCCTGTAAACAAGGAATTATATTTCCAGAGAAACGCTTGGAAAGAATTAAAGGAAGCTTATGAACTAATGACCGATAAGAACACTCTGGAAGATCTGGATTCTGCAGACAACATATGTCTAATGTCGAAGACTTGCAGGCGAAAACCGACAAACTGGCTGAAGAAGAAGCCGGTGAAGACGGGACTGCAGGTGAACATAGAGAAGACGGAAGTGATGGAGATAACCTACCGACAGCAACAACAACAACAACCAGCACCAATAACCGTCAACGGAAGAGATTAAACAGAGGTTACCTCCTCCACTTCTCTAGGAAGCATCGTTTCAATTACAAGCGTAACGGATGAAGACGTCAAAGGAGGCCAGAATCGGAAAGGCCTTCGTCAACCTGAAACCAGTTTGGAAATCTTCTGCACTTTGCCTTAGCATAAAGAGCATGATTTCTGTGGATTTTCAACACAAATGTGAAATCAGTCAGTCAGCAACTTAGCCAGCATGTCACGAAAAGTATTTCCAACAAGTCACTGCAGACTTTTATCAACAACTGCCACCTTCGCTGGCTGGCTCCATACTTAAGATCAAGTGGCGAGCCGGTCGACCAGAAAGAATTAGCAACAAGAAACTCTCACTGGCTGACTGACTGGGAACAAACTAACTAAGAGCTGATCGCCCAACAAATGTGTATAACAAAATGGAGATGGATCGGGTATACATTTAGGCGAACACCGAATGACATCGAGAGCAATACAGGCTATCGCATCGCTCGAGCGCAATCCGAATAGGAAGCGACGAGTTGGGCGTCGGTCGGAGGAGATCGTGTGGGGAGGAGAAGCAGAGAGATTATGGGCAATCGTGGGCCCAGGTGAAAAGGACGGCAGAAAATAGAACGAAGAAGTGGAAAGGTGTTGTTGAAACCACTCGGAACCCAAAGGAATTGATGATTGAATCCTTATTTTATTAATAACTATAATTTTCAGGCTTTATTATTTCATCACTGACGACTTACAGGAATTAACCTGATTTTTTTTCCTTCGCATGCAAAAACATGACAAGAAACAAATGCAATAAAGTGTATGTGTGAACCAGCTGTGTAGAAAATTTAATAACATCGACATGAACATGATTGTTTTATAGTTTCACTTTTAAAGGTTGTGTGTGTGCATGTTTGTGGACTCATTTAGAGCAGTTGGCGAAAAACAAGAAAATTGTGGAGATTATTAGTCTGACACATCCAGGTGGATAGATAGACAAAGAGATAACAAAAAGGTTGAAATGATATATTCACAGAGAGGAAAAAACCAAGTGGATTTTTATAGAAATAACACATACCGCACACAAACACACACCTCTATATTCATTTAACATGAAAAGAAACCCAATCGCACTCTTTTTTTGCTGTTCACATATCAACTTAGTTCTCATATTAAATAAGGACACTTGAATGTTTTTCTTATTTTTTAAAGTATCAGATTTTAAGCAGTATGTTGGCTTTTATTGTTCCATTCAACAAAATTATGATCCTTCGCACATGTTTATAACCTCGCCTAGTTAACTGGCTCGCTAGTTTTTCAGCCGATCCCAAGCCCCACACCACTAAATCTTTCAAACCGCTAGAGAAACTTCAACACACAGCAAATATATTAAAACTACAAAAAATTCAAATAACAACAATCTTATTCTTCACTCGAATCGGAGAGGCGAAATGACACAGCGGGCTGGTGAAAGCTGGCCTTCAGGAAGCCAGTCAGCCAGCCGATGTGTCTTCTCTCGATGAAAGCAAGAATAAGAAGTGGGACGTGGAATGTCCGTACAATGTATGACACTGGATGGGAAGGCTGCCCAGGTAGCTGTAGAAATGCGAAGATATGGCATACAAGTACTGGGTGTCTGCCAGAGCAGATGGAATGGATATGGATTGACAACATTGTCATCGGGAGAGTCGATAATCTACTCCCGTCTGGTCATCTAGACGAAAACCACAAACACACTGAGACAGTGAGTAGGTGGCTATCATGATGTCACCAGTGCCAGTCAAAGCCCTAATGCAGTGGGAACTAATCTCCTCATGACCGCAAGATTCAACTCCAAAGGAGGGAAGGAAGGTAAAAATTATCCAAAGCTATACACAATGCCACAAACAACGCGGAACAAGAGAAGAAAGACGATTTTTACAGACAACTACAAACAGTGATGGACAACATCCCAAATGGTGACATCAAAATCCTTACGGGCGATATGAATGCAAGCCAAAATGGGAGCAGAAAATACAGGAAGAGAACTCATCATGGGTAGAGAGGCTCTCACTCGGAGAAATGAATGAGAACGGAGAGTTATTCGCAGACTTCTGACCTTTCAACAATTTGGCGATCGGAGGGAGCGTGTACAAGCACAAGCATACGCACAAAGCAACAAGGATTTAGCCTGATGGACATACCACAAACCAAAGAGATTTCGTCTCAATGCTGCTCAAAGAAGTGGAGACGCAGACTGCTGGCTACAAAGTCGAGAAAGGCAGCAGATGCAGGCTCACATCATCATCTAGTTCAAGGAACCTTAAAAGTGAAGCTAAAATCCTTCAGAACAACTCCAGACAGGCTAAAATTCAATTTGAAGATTCAGAAACTGAAGGGTAGAACTACAAGGGATGTCTTCGCTACAGATAACAGAGCAAAGTCGGTCACACTACGTGGCATCACAGAGGAAACCCGCCTGGAAGAACAGTGGAACCCTCTGAAGGCGATATTTAAGCAAACGTGTAAAACTGTTCCAGGCAGAAAGAAGATATAAGACAAGGAATGGCTGTCAATGGATACCTCGAAGCTCATAGAAGCGAGGAGAGGAGGATGGTGAAAGAGATGACGACTCAATGTAAAAATGAACAACAGAAGGAGAAGCTGAGTTCTGTGCACACTGCACTAAATAAAGCAGTGAAGAAGAGGGCTAGAAAAGACAATTCTACGACACACTGGCAACTGAAGCAGAACAGACCACAGGCAAAAGAGACATCAGAACAGTATGTGAGACAACCAGGTCTCTATGAGGGAAGAGATCAACCCAGTAACGAAACCAATAAAAGATGGTCATGGGGAACTAATCACCAAGGAGGAGAAATAAATCAAACAATGGACTGATCACTTTAAAGGACTCTTGAATCGACCACCACCGGCGACTCGTCCAGAAATACCATCAACAGCACGCACAGAACTGCCGGTGGATACCACTCCTCCAACGAAAGAAGAAATCTTGAATGCGATCAAGCTACTGAAGTCCTGGAAGGTACCAG